TAATCCAGAGCATCCAAATTTCACGATTGCTGCGATTGAAAGCAGTTGTCGTGAACCATCTGGATGGTGTTATACGACATTACAGACAAAAGCTAATGCTCTTACAAGAGGAATAAATTCGACATCTGTTCGAATTAGGATAGGGAATATGACATTTTTGGAAATTTGGCCACCAAATCATAAATCGACAGTCATTCAACATTCACTAAGCACACACGGTATTATTCGCATCCTTTCTAATCAAGTTATGATCGAATTTCATCCGTACATCAGCGCCAATCCGCAGCAGAAACCCTTTTTAGCACGATTATGTGAAGAAAATGATGTGACATATTTTAAACCGGGTCTAAATCAAATTTATCGATTTTTTAATCCTCGAAATACGCTGGCTATCATTATACAAGCTTTTGATAGGGTAGCATTTGAATACATAGGCAGTGATCAAAAGCAAATTAAACAGCAGTCTGAAGTGTCAACTGATATTGAATATGAGAAATTTAAGAAATTAATCGAAAAAGATTGTACGTGCAGCTATTAAATATGACTTGTAGAAGAAATATTTTTCATTATTATGTTGTTTTAGATTTTGCAGCAGTGACGACTACAACTAGTTCCACTACCACCACCACGACCATCACCGTTTCTCAACTAATAACGGCTAGTACTGAGAGTTCATCCGCCACAACAACAGCGCCGGGTGAGCTAGATTGCGATGCACATATTGTAATAATTCTGAAAAGGCTCCTCTTAGCTCGAATTTGAGATAGTAATAGGCTCTTGACATTGTTGATATATTACGTTGTCCACGAATATAAGCTTTGGAATGCAAGAAAATAAGAATTTGGAGAAAAATCAATTTTTACTGTTGGTACTACATGGCTGTAGCCTACCTCTTTAGCCTACCATCACTATCAGAATGCTGTTTAAAATTCTAAAAACACATCCGGGATGTGTAAAGATGTTTGCTCTTTCAGAATTTATACTCAATAGGTTTCTCACTTTTTGTAAAAATGGCCAGAAAATCAAAAAAAGGACCAAATACCACAACAAATTTTGGGTTCATCTAAGTATTTTGCTACTGTATTCTAAGGAAATGTGGAAACAATGTGAAAATATCACATTACACATGTGAAAAAGTTCATAAAAAAGAAGAGCCAAGAACGCGTTCGTGAAAAAATGGAACGCGTCCTGGAGATGCTTTTAGCGTTGGTTTAAAACCCGTTTCTTTTGCAAAAGAAAATGGGTTCCTCTCTGCTAGCACACGTTCAGAAAAAAATCCTCTTAAGCAACAAAAACGCTTTCCAAAAGAACGCTAAAAGCACCTACAGAGCGTGTTCTTGGTTGAGAAGCACGCATTGCTGGTCGAAAAACACTTTACTCCTACCCTCTTCTCAAATCTCCCTCTCAGCTCCTCCCGTCCATGAACGGGGTCCTCGCTTACCTTAGTCTCCGTTCTGAAGTAACGCGTCGATCTACTAGTGTAACACAATCTCAGTCTCAAGGAATAGGTTCGGAAGTGTATTTCGTGAAGGTGAGGGGCGGGTGGAAAATTATGCCTCTCGCAGGTCACGGCCACGCGTGGGGACCCACTAATTTATATTCACTCAGCTTTTCTGCTTTTCAGCCCAAACGATCATTGGAAAACGTTACACCAGGTATCCAGATCCTCAGGTACGTATTTTGACGCTCAGTCATTGAAGTAGCACCGCGATTATTCATAGAAATAGTTTATCAAGAAATTCTCAGCTAAGATTCTGGGACAGCTTAATCATATTTAAATTCTGATCTTTTGATTTTGAGTTTTTGTGCATTATGCTAAGTTTTTTTAAAACAGCTTCGAAGTGAGTTTAATGGCTGTGCTTTATAATTCTAATTGTTCTTATAGCGCGGAATGGCACTTCAAGCCCGGTGGAAGAAGTATAAAGCAATTCCGTATAAAACTGAGTACGCAGTTGAATACGTTTGCGGTAAACTGGTCGAAACTACATGCCGTACACCAGTTGGAAGACCGGCGGACGAAGAACTGGAAAGCTGTGACAAATCTTGTTGCCATGCTGGCCACCTTACCGGATTTTGTGACAAGAGTGCTGTACTTGGTACTAGGATAATAAGTCAAGGGGGACCTGCCGGGACGGAATATAAACCTATAATTAAACTCGATCCAGGCTGCCAATGCACCGACGACCCGATAGATGCCACTTGTGGTCTTGATGGTTCATTTATAGGAATTCGATGTCCGTTTGATGAAAGTGCATGTGCAAGAAAGTGTTGTCGTCAAGGAAGATCAAGTGGATATTGTGGTGGATTCCTGAAGTTAAAATGCATGTGCGATTAGGGCGGAGCACTCCTACTCGGATTTTTTTACATATTTGTAGAGGACATTTTGAAATAGAAATCTCTGAAATGTTTGTAGCATGTTGTTGTAACACATCGCTTTTGAAAAAGCTTTATAAAGTTTTTTCTCAAATTTTGGCGCCATTTTAAAGTTTCGATAAAACTTTTATTTTCTAAGATGAAAATCTAAACTTGATATCATTTGACAGAAGAGTAAATATACAAAAACTTTCATTATGATCGGATGAAGTTCGGTGAGAAATTGAAATTTCACTTGCCCAATGCATTTTTCGTGCAAAAAGTAATTTTAAAAATTCATCGAACCAAATTTTGCTTCAGGAAGCAACTTAAAAGAAAGATTTGATAACAACAGTTGTTTATCATCAAATTCTGCACCGGCTATTATCGAAATTTAAAAAGAATTCGGCAAACTGCTTATAACGTTTCAACGAAGAGAGCTAAAGACCTGCGGTTTTCAGATTCTGAAACTAGACACTTTAGGTCGTAAACCTACAAAAAACTCAAGGGTCCTGATCAGGTTTACGACGGTGCATCATTCCAGGCGCAATTCGAAAGCTTACCGTGCCCAAACCATACTATAAAATCCAATTTAAATATCACCAGTAGATAGCCAAAACATTTTTATTCAAAACTAAGCAAAACCCACCCAGGTCTTCATTTTCTATGGTTTCTGAGATACAGACGTTTTCTGAGGACACATCTATCTAGTCTTCGTTTCGCATAAATAGATATTGCATATGAAGTTGTGTGTTTGTATACATCAGTTTAAACATCAGAGCTAACAAAGACATTTGCTATGTGACTAAACTGCACTTCTCGGTCTAGCTTGCCAAAATCATAAGCGGTAGAAAAACCATACCACAGTGGGCAACTAAGCGGACATTAGGCCAAAAAGTCGATTTTATCTATCTTGAAATACAAATAGTGCAAAATGTAGCTCTTGAAATTCTCTATCGAATGGTGTATAAACGTCTATTGTGAAACT